AAAAAAAAAAAAAAAATCTTTGCTCTTTACTGACTCTCTCCTGCAATATGAGATAAAAACCTGCAACCCTCCCCTCAGTATTCAAGACAGTTCCACTTCCATCGGTACCTCCCAACATCCGCATGCCTGAACCTGGATCCTATCTGCTTACCTCTTGGCCCCTCACTCTCCCTGTATGGTCCTACCTAAAGGCCTTTGCACCAGTCATTTCCTCTGCCTGGTGTGTCCTCCCTGCCCCAGCCCTCCTCCAAGCTCGGGCTCAGCTCGGGCCCCACCCGTCTAGAATGCTGTCCTCACCATCCCAGGCTAGCAGCCTCCGCAGGCCTTGGGGCTTCACTCACTGGCTGCAGATCCCACACTGCCGGGAAGCTCTGTTTTTCCAACTTCCAGGCTTTCATGTCAACTCTCTAATGACCCTGCATTCTCTATAGAACAGACCATGGCGTCCTGTACATTCTTGCAGCCCTCACAGGACCCAGTTCAAGGTTTTACACCCAAGTGTTCAGTAATACTCGTGGACAGACTGACCTCTTGCTGGCTGCCAGTCTGGTCTCCACAATGATTTCTTCTTCCTACAGCCTAGCCAGGGAGAAGCCTCCCCAGGAAGCAGGGCAGAAGGCTGGCCAGTCTAGGGCAAACGCTTTGCACTCACAGACACCAGGGGGCACCAGAGAGCCACACCATGGGTGAGGTCAGGGGTTAATGGGCCAAAGGCATTCATGAGCAACTTCCACTTAATCCTCTCTATCACCCTAAGGGATTGGATTATCCCATTTTGCAGAGGAAATTGATCTCTCTGTGGAGTGGGCAACATTTTTCAGCAGTACACCACCCAAGCCAGCCCAATATTTCCAAAATGTCTACTTTTGGCCAAAAAGACTGTTCGAGAGCCCCAGAGACCAGATCTACCGCAAAGAACTATGAGCAAACAGATGAGAAAGAGCCTCTGGACACCCCCTTCCAACTCTCCTAGAGATAAGTTCAAGCTGAGCCAGGGGCAGCTCAAAGCTCAAAGCTGGATGGCCAGGCATGATGCTACAGCTTTATGTGTGCTAATGCACCTGAGACCAGGAGGTGGCTATTAGGTTGAACCAAAGGAAAATTCTGCTATTTGTGAATCCAAAAATAGCTGAATATTGGAAATTTCATCATCAACCAAGTACTACTAATATCCCCATCTTAATACTGAAGAAACTGAGGCCTAGGGAGTTGAAGTGACTTGCGAAAGCGGATGTAATGGTAAACAGAATTGAGATTTGAATTCAAGCAGCTAGGCAGACCTGCCCCCTCTTGTTGAACCAGGACAACCTCCTTCTCAATCTCAAGAGAAGACAGGGCAGAGCTCCTTCTCCTAGAGTGTTCCAGCCCAATCCCCAGCAGCCCCATAGGCTGCGATGCCTCCCTGCTCAGTGTTCCAGCCCCACTCCTGCCATGGCTGAGGAGGGAGGTCACTCACTAGTCCGGAGCAGTGTGCGATGGGCACTCTTGGGCGTGATGGGAGGAGGGGCTGGGATGCTGCTGGTTGATATGATGGCATTGAAGTAGAGGCCAGAGCCTTCCCGCACAGGGCTGAGGATGGGGGGTGGTGTGTAGGGGGGCAGCTCAAAGCTCCGCTCAGAGGGGTGGTCAGCTAGACGCACAGGAGAGCGCAGGTGGCTCTGGTATGGGGTGATGTTGGAGTAGACGGGAGGGGCGATGAAAGTGCCCGCCTTGGTGGGGATGATGAGGGGCTCCGGCCTGGGCCGCTGCTTTGGTTTCCGCACAGAAGGCTCCCCCTCCAGCTTGACATTCATGTCCTCTGCCTGGAGAAGTAAAGAAAACAAAGACGGCTCAGTCCCCCATGTCCCAGGAAAAGTGAAGTCTTGACCAATGCTTGCCAGTCTCACCTTTGGAACTTAAGTCTCCCCACCACACCCACCAAGGCAAGCCTGAAAAAGGGAGTAGGTCCAAAAGCCCTTCTTATTGTCCTCTCTAGGGCAGAGGTCAGCAAACTTTTTCTGTAAAAGGCCAGAGAGTAAATATTTTAGGCTTTGTGGGCCGCATGTGTTCTCTGCTACATATTCCTTTTCTTTCCCTTTTTCTTTTTAAAACTAATCGTATAAAATTGTAATGCTATTGATTCTTAGCTCTGCTGTAGAGTGTGACAGGGCAGGAGAGCACAGTAGTTCAGGGCCCAGGCTCTGGAGCTGGACTGCTTGGACTGGTACCTACCACCTTTACTGCCACTTAAAATTACTCAATCCAGGGCTGGGCGTGGTGGCTCACGCCTGTAATCCAAGCACTTTGGAGGCCAAGGCCGGCGGATCACCTGAGGTCGGGAGTTCAAGACCAGCCTGACCAACATGGTGAAACCCCATCTTAAAAAAAAAAACAAAAAACTCAATCTCTTTGAGCATCTTCATTTTTAACATGGTGCATTCTTAATAAGTGCCTACTTAATGGGGTAACTATGAGGACTACATGAATTAATACATGGAAATTATTGACAATATCATCTGATACCTCAGTAAACACTGGCTGTTATCACTACTTACACGCCAGGCTCTGCATTAGATGAAAGCTCCTACTGTGTGCTAAGAGTGAGTTGGGCATGGGACTACAAAATGGAATGGACGAGGCCAGGTGTAGTGGCTGACACCTGTAATCACAGCACTTTGTGAGGCTGAGGTGGGGGAATCACTTGAGGCCAGAGTTCCAGACCAGCCTGACCAACATGGCAAAATCCTGTCTCTACTAAAACACAAAAATTAGCCAGGTGTGGTGGTGGGCGCCTATAATTTCAGCTACTCAGGAGGCTGAAGCACAAGAATCACTTGGATCCGGGAGGTGGAGGTTGCAGTGAGCTGAGATTGTGCCACTGCACTCCAGCCTAGGCGACAGAACTGGACTCTAACTCAAAAAACAAAAAGGAGAAAGAAAAAAAGATGGAATGGACTGTTCCTTGCAGAACTTTTGTTCTCACAGTATTAATCAGACTACGCAAAAGGCTAGCCCATGCATACTGTCAAAGGTTAGCCCTCCTACTTCTCCCTGCTAGGCATGCCTCACAGGCCTCTATCTAGAATAGAAAGGACTATAAGAGAACAGAGGCTTTCCTTTGCTCCATCCCTATAATCTCAAAGGCAGAGAACGGAGTCCTACAGGGTAAGTAACCCCAGGTTATCCCTATGCGTACTCAGTATAACAGGTAAGGTTGGCCATGTTGACTGAGTGGGCCTTAGAATAATGAGCTATTTCCCTGCCATGGCTCTCGCTCCCATAAACACCTTCCAGCAGAGGGCCCTGACTCCTGAGGCTCTGGACATGTCCTTCACCCATTTGTGTCCTCTTTTCCCTTCTACAAATTAGAATGAAATGAAACTGTTCATTCTTCTGCCCTTAGGGAAACAATATGATTGCACAGTTAAAAAAAAAAAAAATGTAGGAGCCAAAGGCCCCCCAAACTTTCTTGACAGAAATCCAACAAAAGGCTAAGCGTGGTGGCTCATGCCATCCCAGCACTTTGGGAGGCTGAGGTGGGCAGATCACGAAGTCAGGGGTTCAAGACCAGCCTGGCCAACATGGTGAAACTGCGTCTCTACTAAAGATACAAAAAATTAGCCGGGCGTAGTGGCGGGCACATGTAATCCCAGCTACTCAGGAGGCTGAGGCAGGGGAATCGCTTGAACTTGGGAGGTGGAGGTTGTAGCAGTGAGCCGAAATTGCACCAGTGTACTCCAGTCTGGGCAACAGGGGGAGACTCCATCTCAAAAAAGAAAAAGTAAAGAAAGAAATACAACGACAACAAAATCAGCTAGGTCTAATGATCTGTAATTTTATAATAAGGGATTTAAACTATTCTGAATAATTGACAATAATAGTCATTTTTTTAGGTATGGCAATACTGTTGAGATTACGTTGAAGAAGAAAGAGTCCTTATGTATTTCAGATACAAACTGAAAGGTATATATGAATGGAATGCTATAATGTTCGGGATGTGCTTCAAAATAACCTGGTGGCATGGAGAAGTAGAGGTACAGGTGAAACAAGACTGGCTATAATTTGATAACTGTGAGATCTGGGTGATGGCTAAACACTGGCATTCATTATACCCATCTCTCCACTTTTATGCATGAAAGAAAGTGTCTATAGTACAAAGAATAATAAATAATGAATGAAATAAATAACAAACACAAACTTCCTCCCATAGCCTGGTGTAGGGATTTAGGAGGTCCAAATTCTAGGGCTAGCTCTGACATTACTTGGCTGCATGACCTGAGGTACAGCCTCTTGTCTTCTCTGGACCTAGTTCCTCATCTATAAAACAGGGGCACTGAGCTGTGTAGCTACTCAGGCTCCTTCCTGCTTACTCTCAGAACAAGCTGCCCAGGCCTCCAGCCTCTACCAGAAACTTTTCCTCAACCAGAGAACAGAAACCCAGAGAGCAGAGACTGTGGTGCTCACAATCATCTTGGCGCTTCCCTGTGTATTACAGAGGCATGTAGGCCAATTCTCCAGCCGAGAAAAACCAGAAAATCTGGACTCAACGTGCAAAACACATTTCTGAAGATATCAGAGGGCAAATAGGTTGGCAAAGAATTAAAATGCCAAGATCCAAGGGAAAAGAAAAGAAAGCTAAAGAGGTCAGCCCAGTATTCGAAGCTCCACTTTCCCTAGAGGTAAATGCTATTACTGGAAGAGGCAACTGAGAGGCTGAGAAACTGAGTAGACCTTTTAAGAAATTTAAGGAACTGACACAATAAAAAATAAAGTTTGGCTGGGTGTGTTTGGCTGGGTGCGGTGGCCTGTATTTCCAGCACTTTGGGAGACCGAGGTGGGCGAATTACTTGAGGTCTGGAGTTCGAGACCAGCCTGGCCAACATGGCAAAATCCCATCTCTACTAAAGATACAAAAATTAGCTGAGTGTGGTGATGGGTGTCTGTAATCCCAGCTGCTTGGGAGGCTGAGGCAGAAGAATCGCTTGAACCCAGGAGATGGAGGTTGCAGTGAGTCGAGATCACTCCACTGTACTCTAGCCAGGGTGACAGAGAGAGACTCCCTCTCAAAAAAATCAAAAAACAAACAAACAAAATCCTGAAGTTTAGGGCTTGCCAAGGAAGGAGAGCTTGGTAAACCCCAGGCTTTGGATTGGGCCTCCAAAAAGGGCTGGTACTCACTTTTCATCCAGAATAAAGGTGAATCAGAAATAGACTAGTCCCTACATGGAATAAAGCCTAGCTTCAAATCATCTCATTTCAACCTCTGATTAAAGTAATTCAGGGCCAGGTGTGGTGGCTCACACCTGTAATCTCAGCACTTTGGGAGGCCAAGGCAGGTGGATCACTTGAGGCCAGAAGTTGGAGACCAGTCTGGCCGACATGGCAAAACCCTATGTCTACTAAAAATACAAAAATCTGCCAGGCATGGTGGCAGGTGCCTGTCATCCCAGCTACTCAGGAGGCTGAGGCACAAGACTTGCTTGAACCTGGGAGACATAGGTTGCACTGAGCCAAGATTGTGCCACTGCACTGCAGCCTGAACTTCGGAATGAGATCCTATCTCTAAATAAATAAATAACGTAATTCAGGCCAGGTGCAATGGCTCATGCCTGTAATCTCAGCATTTTGGAAGGCTGAGACAGGCAGATCACCTCAGGTCAGGAGTTTGAGACCAGCCTGGCCAACATGGTAAAACCCCATCTCTACTAAAAACACAAAAATTAGTGGGGCATGGCGGCACACCCCTGTAGTCCCAGCTACTTGGGAGGCAGACGTGGGAGAATCGCTTGAAAGCAGGAGATTGAGGCTGTCATGAGCCAAAATCGTGCCACTGCACTCCAGCTTGGGCTACAAAGCGAAACTCTGTCTCAAAAGAAAAAAAAAGAAAAAGAAAAACATATTTTCAGATAATCCAAGACTAATAAAGTTCCTCACTGCAGATATACTAAAAGAAATGCTAAGGGATGACAGTTGGAGATATGAGAAGAAATGAAAGCAACAAAAAGGATAAGTATTGGGGTAAATCTAGAATAAATAACAATGTTATAATGTCCTGCTGATGTTAAAATAAAGAGAGAATGTAAATGCATGTCGATAATGCTAAAAGTTAGGTATTGGTGGAAAATGACATTAAAGTGTTGTAAGAACTTTGCGTTGTCCAGGCCAGGTGCAGTGGCTCACACCTGTAATCCCAGCACTTTGGGAGGGTAAGGCAGGTGGATCACCTGAGGTTAGGAGTTCCAGACCAGCCTGGCCAACATTGTGAAACTCTATCTTGACTAAAAATACAAAAAAATTAGTAGAGCATGGTGGCCTGCACTTGTAGTCCCAGCTACTCACAAGGCTGAGGTGGAAGAATCACTTGAACCCGGGAGGTGGAGGCTGCAGTGAACTGAAATCACACCACTGTACTCCAGCCTGCGCAACAGAGTGAGACTTCATGTCAAACCACCCCCCACAAAAGCAACAACAAAAAACAAGAACTTTGCGTTGTCTAGGAAGAGCCAAAAGTACTAACAGATTTCAAAAAGCCAAGGATGCATGTTTTAACATCTAGCAGCCCTTCTCAACCAAAGAACTAAGTCCTAATGTCATAAGGTATTCACTATACGTAAGTTAGATTCTCTCCTATGCATTTAGCAGGATTTGGGTTTTTTAATTTTTTTTTTTTTTGGCTTTTTGTTTTGTTTTGTTTTGAAAAAAGGTCTCACGTTGTCACCTAGGCTGAAGTGCAATGGCACAATCATAGCTCCCTATCACCTTGACCTCTTGGGCTCAAGCGATCCTCCCACCTCAGCCTCCTGAGAAGCTGGGACTACAGGTGTATACCACCATACCCAGCTAACTTTTTTTTTTTTTTGGTAGAGATGAGGTCTCCTTGTGTCGCCCAGGCTGGTCTCAAACTCCTGGGCTCAAGTGATCCTCCTGCGTTGGCCTCCCAAACTGCTGGGATTACAGGCATCAATCAGCCACTGCACCTGGCCTCCTATGCATTTTAAAATGGTACTAACTATGTCCCATCCTTTAGACGATTGTGGCAATAGTTGCTCAAATCCCTTTCTGTAGGGCTTAGTTCTCTTGAAGAAATACGGGTAAGAAGAATGCTGGGGTAATCATTAAAAGAGCAATATGCAAGGATATAACTAATAAATCAACAAAATGGGGAAATGGGATAACAAATCAAATCAATCCAAAGGCAAACACAGGAAAGGCAAGATGAGAAACAGCTACAGCAGGTGGCAACTTTTGACCAAAGTATTTAAGTAGTTCCATTAAATGCAAACTGTATCAGTGGAATATTAAAAAACTGAATTCAAAGAAGCATAAAGTGGAATGGTGGTTACCGGGGTTAGGGGATGGGCCGAGGGTTGAGGAGATACTGGTCAAAGGATACATAATTTCAGTTAGGAAAAAAGAGTAAGTTCAGGAAATCTATAGTATAACATGATGACTATCATTAGTAACAATGTATTACATACTTCAAAATTGCTAAGAGAGCAGATTTTAAATGTTCTCACCACAAAAAAATAAGTATTTGAGGTAATGCATATGTTAATTTGCTTGATTATATCAGAACATCATGTTGTATGCTATAAACATGTTTTCTGTTATGTTACTTTTATTTTATTTTATTTTTGTACAGACAGGGTTTCGCCATGTTGGACAGGCTGGTCTTGAACTCCTGGCCTAAAGTGATCCACCAGTCTTGGCTTCCCAAAGTGCTGGGATGACAGGCATGAGCCATCACACCCAGACTTTATATTAATTTTTAAATAAATAAATAGAAAGAATGACATAAACTGTATCACTGCTCTAAAAGATTGGATAATAACAATTCCCAATGTATGCCACTTGAAAGATACACTTAAGTAGAAGGATATAGAAAAGATGACAATAAATGGATGGGAAAAGATGCACCCTGCAGATTCTAACCAAAAGAAAGCAAGATATCAGACAAAGCTGACTTTAAAAGGCAAAAGGGGTGGATAATGAGAAATTACTTAATGGGTACAATGTGCATTATTTGGGGAACAGATATGGATACCCTGACAGCCCTGACTTCACCACTACACAATCTATGCATGTTACAAAAATCACACTTGTATCCTATAACTTCACTAATGTAAAATAAGAAATGGCCCGGCACGGTGGCCCATGCCTGTAATCCCAACACTTTGGGAGGCCAAGGCGGGCAGATCACTTGAGGTCAAGAGTTAGAGACCAGCCTGGCCAACATGGTGAAACCCTGTCTCTACTAAAAATACAAAAATTAGACGGGCATGGTGGCACACGCCTGTAATCCCAGCCACTCGGGAGGCTGAGGCAGAAGAACTGCTTGAACCCAGAAGGTTGCAGTTAAGCTGAGATCTCACCATTGCACTCCAGCCTGGGGGACAAGAGCAAAACTCCTTTTCAAAAAAAATAAAATAAGAATAAAAGGCAAAAAGACTAAGATAAAAAGAAATTTCATAAAGTATCTAATCCAGTTCTAAATAAGCGTCTAATAACATTGCATCAAAATGTATAAAACAAATGATGACAGAACCTAAAGAAAAAGTAGACAAAGTCTCAATCTTAGAAGGAGATGTCAAGATCACAGTAGTAACAGTACAAGCAAACATCTCTAATTCCCAGCACCCAACACAGGCCCAATCAAAATTTGCTGACCTGAAAAAAGAAATGTACACATCATAGAATTTCCCAGGCAGTTTCAATTTCAAGTATAAAACTGTCTTATCCCCCATGAGGATGGGGGACATCTCCAAATGTCCCTTCTGGACATTTATCTAGAAATTTGGTTTGGAAAATAAAAATAGTATCTCTACAGGCTCCCTGATACCTTCCTATATTTCCATGTTCTCCTTTCCCCATAGGGTCCTAGGCCCCAGGGGCACTCAGGTGCTGGAGGTGTTTAGAAGGGGTGCCTCTCATACCTGAGCTGCAGCATCTGTCCCAGGAATTCGGGTGGACCGCCTGCGGGTGACGATGACCGATGGCATGTGCTCAGTGGAGTTCTGGTCAGGACCCTGCCCATCCTCATCAATACTTCCAGCCTGGGCTGCCTCAGTTGGGTCCACAGTCCGCACAGGCACAGACACTGGGATGATGAGGGGTACCATCCCGCTGTCTTCTCGCGCTCGCTTGGTGGCTAAAGCAGGCTCAGAAAACTCCACCTCACACTTGGTAGTTGAGGCCAATACACTTCTCCGCTTCTCTTCAGAGCCACTGACATCCTGGAGAAGACGGGAACAGACGTGCAGTTTAAAAGATAAAGTCACAGCCAGGCGCAGTGGCTCACGCCTAAAATACCTGCACTTTGGGAGGACAAGGCAAAAGGATCGCTTGAAGCCACAAATTCAAGACCAGCCTAGGCCACACAGTGAGACTCCGTCTCTACAGAAAATAAAGCTAAATTAGCTGAGCGTGGTGGCAAACGCCCCAGCTACTCAGGAGGCTGAGGTAGGAGGATTGCCTGGGTGACAGTGACACCCTGTCTCAATAAATAAATATATAAACAAACAAATAAAAGATAAATTCTGATTTGATCTGGGACCCTCATTCCCACTTAGTCAGTGGCTCCCAATGATCTCACAATTTGGCTTTTCCCTGACCAGCTTTTCTCCAACAAATTTTTTTTTTTTTTTTTTTTGCAGACAGGGTCTCACTGTCACCCAGGCTGGAGTGCAGTGGCACGATCTTGGCTCACTGCAACCTCTGCCTCCAGGGTTCAAACAATTCTCCCACCTCAGCTTCCCCAGTAGCTGGGATTACAGGTATGCACCACCACACCTGGCTAATTTTTGTATTTTTTTGTAGAGATGGGGTTTTGCCGTGTTGGCCAGGCTAGTCTTGAACTCCTGATCTCAAGTGATCCAACCACCTTGGCCTCCCACAGTGCCAGGATTACAGGTGTGAATCACTGAGCCCAGCTTCCTACCACACTTCTAAATACTCTCCAGTCCTTGACCAGACCATAGGTACTCCTAGGCCAAGGAGAAGTCAACAGTCAATACCAAGACCTGGGACCTAGCAGGCTTCCAGGAAGTTTTATGGTGAGAAGCACTTTGATTTATTTGTCTGTTTGTTTGTTTTTTGAGATGAAGTCTCGCTCTGTTGCCCAGGCTGGAGTGCAGTGCCGGGATCTCGGCTCACTGCAACCTCCACCTCTCAAGTTCAAGTGATTCTCGTGACTGAGCCTCCCCAGTAGCTAGAATTACAGGTGTGCGCCACCATGCCCAGCTAATTTTTATATTTTTAGTAGAGATGGGGTTTCACTGTGTTGGCCAGGCTGATCTTGAACTCCTGTCCTTAGGTCATCTGTCCACCTTGGCCTCCTAAAGTGCTAGGATTACAGGTGTGAGCCACCACACCCAGTCAGAAGCATTTACTATAGAAGAGAACAGTGTGAGGCTGGGTGCGGTGGCTCACACCTATAATCCCAGCACTTTAGGAGGCTGAGGTGGGTGGATCATCTGAGATCAGGAGTTTGAGACCAGCCTGGCCAACATGGCAAAACCCAGTCTCTACTAAAAATACAAAAATATGTCAGGCGTGCTGGCAAGTGCCTGTAATCCCAGCTACTGGGGAGGCTGAGGTGGGAGAATCACTTGAACCTGGGAGGCAGAGGCTGCAGTGAGTTGAGATTGCACCACAGCACTCTAGCCTGAGTGACAGAGTAAGATTCCATCTCAATACATACATACATACATACCCTCCACAACCTGCCTTCTTCCAGGCCCTTCCACCCTGGCCTAGAGCAAGGGTCCACAAATGGCCATCTCCTGCCACAGGTGGCTTACAGATGGGTTTTGTTTGGCCTGCGCAGTGGGTGGCACATGAAATAGTATCTAATTATTCAAAAAAAATTCCTGCGAAAGAAAGTAAGCAAGAACCATGCGGCAAGGTGAAGGGTGGTCTTTGTACTATTTCCCCACAGGCAGTTGGCTAGGGCAAAGTCTGCCTGTCCCTAGGCAAAAAGCAAATCCTGCAGCCTCCCACCTATCAGCCTGATGTCCTCTGCCAGGTCTGGCTCCACCCCATGCCACTCTCACCTTTGCATTCTGCAGCGAGGCCAGCTCCACCGCCTTCTGGGCCAGGGTCAGCAAATTGGCCTCCTGGGATGCCCGGCGCCTCCGTCTCGTGCTCTGGATCACGCCGCCCCGTAGCACCTGCCCACAGTCCCCTGTGCTCACTGCCCTCATGCCCTCCTCGATGCCCATGGCAGGAGCCTCTCGCTCCCGGCCATTGGGTGCTAGTCTCTCCCCATCAGGCAATAACTGCGACTCCCTCAGCTCCAGCGGGAATCCCAGTGCTTCAGGATGGGGCTGCCCCAGGGCGCCAGGTGGTGGCTGCTGTAGGGGCCAGTGATGTAGGAACAGGTTGCCAGTGGGCTCCTGCCCAGGTTGGGTGCCAGCCCCATCCAGGGCAGTGGGAGGCAGGATACCCTCCTTAGAGAGGCGGCGAGAGCGGCGAGGGAAAGGGATCTGGACCTGAGGTAGCGCCGGCTGCGGGGCTGACTCCTGCAGGAGGGCCTTGCGCAGTTCTGGGTTCATATCAGGGTTTGGGGGGAAGGGGTAGGGTGCCATGCTGTGGTGAGCCAGGTGGGACTGTCCTAGTGGCCCAGCTGGCTGCAGGCCAAAGTCCTGGGGTTGCTGTGAGGGTGGCTGCTGCATGGGGTAGAAGTTCTCAAAGAGTGGCATCTGGGGTAGGGCCGCCTGCTGCTGCTGCTGTTGCTGCTGCTGATGCTGTTGCTGCTGCTGATGCTGCTGTTGCTGCTTCTGCGGGGGGAAGGCGGCCACTGGGTTTGGGGGCGGTGGGCCCTGCCGGAAGACCTGCCGGTTCACCTGGTGGCCAAATGCCAGCTGGAAGGGTTGCAGGGGCAGCGACTGGTTTGGGGGTTTCTTGGCTGCATGGAAAGAATTCAGGGGTGCCTGGGGCCGCCCTACCTCCAGCTGCACCTTCTGTGGCATCATTGGCCGCACATTTCCATAGCGGTCCAGCTGTGGGCCCCCTGCTTTCTCCCGCTTCAGTGCCTCAGGGTGGTTATAGTAAGTCGGGACTCCCACTCCAGGATGAGGGCTCCCCTTGGGTGCACTGTAGAGGGACAGACTGTGGCAGTTCCATGTTGAATGGGGAGGAGGCTGGCCTGGCTGCTGCTGCCAGCTGCCGTCACTGACACCCCCACCTCCTCCGCGATCTGGGCCCCGCCCTGGAGCCATCACAGAGTTGGGCCACTTTACTGAGGCCACCTGCTGGGACAGCATGGCTGCCGAGGTCCGCTCAGGCCCATACACCACAGAGTTCAGCAGGGCCAGGCTGCTAGGAGGGGCCAGTTCCACAGGCTGAGAGGTGGAGGCTGCCCCTCCTTGGCCCTCATGTCCCACGTACTGCTCCTCCTTCACTCTGATGGACTGCTGGGGGGGCTGCAGGGGAGGGGGCTGCTCCTTGGGAGCTGGTTCCTGGCTGCTGAAGAGGGAACGCTTCCGCTTGTTCTGAGCCTTGGGCTGGGCCTGGAGGTTCATGATGTGGCCAACTGAGCCCTGGCAGTGAGATCCACTTCACCAGTCGCCCATCCCCTGGTGAAATGTCCTGCTGGAAGCTGGGCTCTAGTCCAGGGGCCAGGGAGGGCAGAGCAGGGGCAGAGGAAGATGCTGGACAATGTGGTCGGGCACTGGGATAAAGAACTGCCGGCTCTTCCTTCCTCTTCCAGAGAGGCTCTGGGGCTCAGTTACTCTTCTCAGTTCATGATGCTCCACAGAGTCCTGGTGCCTGCAGAGGGAAGGGCAGGGATAGTGTCAGCCACAGCCTCCCAAGATGCCCGAATGTCAGCACAAGTGTAAGAAAAGGGGCCTCCAAGGGCCTTCGGTCCCACCACCGCATATCACAGGGACAGGCCCAAAGTCACAGAGTAGCATTGTTGAGGCAGGAGCCAGGACCTGCAGGGGAGCTGCCAGGAGGGCAGGAGAATCAGCTGCACCTCCCAGGGCACTGTGACTCTCTTGTTCCACCACCTCACCCTCCTGGTTCAGCTCCAGGACTGCCTGCATCTGGCTGTGTTATTTGTGCACTGCATAAAGGCACATTCTGAGGGACAAGTGGAGCTGACATCCAGCCCAAGCCCCTCCAGCCCAGCTGAGAAAGGGGCAGCAAAAGCCATACTGGGTTCCCCTCTGCTCTTAACCCAGGACCCAGCCCCCTGGGTGGGCCAGACCTGGTCCTCCTGGCACACATCTGTCTATGCAGGAGCCTCCCACCAGACCCAGAAGGATCTTTGTCCAGCCAGTGCGTCCTCTGACACTCCGAGCACATCTCAGGATGGGGAAGTGTAGAGGACAGGGTCATTCCCGACATGGCCACTCCTCCTGTGCAGCCACAGGGTTGGAAGTCCCACCAGGCCCTTGTAAAAGTCCAGGGCCCTGGGTCAGACTCACCATCCATTGCACCGAGGCCTGCAGGTAAGGCCCCAGGAGGGTGTGTGCAGTCCTAGCCCCACCCTGGGAAGAGCTACTGGGTGGGGCTCTGGCTGCCAGAGTCTTCCCCAAACTTGCACAGAACCTGTTTTGCAACCCTGGCAGGCTGGAGGCAGGATCCAGGCCAAGAGCTGGTCAGCAGCTGATCCCACCCTTGCCCAACCCCAGCCCCTTCCACTGCTGAAGAGCCCCTGGCAAATAGTATAACTCAGATCGTAGAGGGTGCAGATTGCTAGAACTCAGTTCCAGAAGGTTTCTCCATGATACTGTCATGACTAAAGTACACAGTTTTTGTTTTAGTTTTGTAACTTGATTTTTTAAAACGGTTGCTATACAACAGAATCTAGACCCATATTTTACAACTTACATAGCTGCTTGCATGTATTTTTAAAGACTTTTTCTTCCCTCAGAGTGCTGATTGGGTTTTGTTTTTTTTCCTGGGAAGTTGGTGGGGGTGGGAGCTACATGGCCCACCTCTTTCCCCAGTAAGATTCTGGTACCAGGGAGGAGGGGAAGACAGCTCGGGCAGCTCAGAAGAGGAAATCTCAGGCCCTAGATGCTCCAGGTTATTGTTAGCAACCCCAGCAGCTCCCAGGAAACCCGCAGGGAGCAGCGGAGGGCAGGGCTGGGCGGGCACAGAGTCCCGACTACACCCAGTGCGGCCTGCCCCCAGCACCGGGAATGCCCCTCCCAGCCTATCGCTCCACTGCAGGCTTCCGCAGCTCCCCAGCCCCTGCGCTCCTGGAGCCTGCCTGCCTCCTGCCCGCCTGCGTGACTCACAGAGGCCCCCTCCCTATCTTTCACTTTCACCCAGCACCCAGAAAGGGAGTAACTTCCTCCTCCATTTCCTTCCTCAGCTCCCAGGGCTTGAAGAGAGTTAGAAAGACCCTCCTCACGTGCAGCCTTTGTCTTCTCATATATGAAACCAGAGGGAGGGAGAGGCACAGAGAGTAGGAGGGAATCCAAGTTACCCTGATCCCCAGCAAGAGGGCGAGTGGGGTGATTCAGACAAGAAGTAGAGAGCTGGGGGCCAGAAAAATAACCTTTCTCTTGCTTTTAAACTCGCTTTCCCTGACAGCCAACCTAATTCAGAGCAGGGACCCAAAATCACACTGGGCACCCCCGTGAAGCTGCAGGGTGGGACCGTCTGGCTCCGCCTCTCCGAGGGAACATCGAGCCCACAGAACTAGAATTGCGTGTCTGCAGAAGCAAGACAGAGGAAGGAAGAATGTGCTCCAGCCTGGCAGGCCCACGTGCCTCCAGGGGGCTGCGAGCCCCTTCAGTGGCTGCTCACATACACTCACGCCTTCCTCTGTCACAGCCCTGTCGCCTTGTGAGCCACAGCACGGGCTTAAGGCCTGGAGCAAGGGAAGGTCCACGTGGCGGGCAGGTCTGGATGCACGTGCCAGTGTGAATCTGATGGCTGTTCCAGCGCCTCTCACAGGAGGAGAAAGGGTAGAGCCAAAAGCTCCAGGACTAGCCTGCTTCTGCCCAGGGCAAAGCGCAGGGGCCAGAGGCCAGACGCAGGTTTTACAGGGGCTTACCCTCAGCTGTATGGTCAGGCCTGGCGGAGCTGGGCTGAGCTGGCCCGCCTCCCACTCTCACCCTGTATATCAAGGAGGGCCATCATTTAGGGCACCACAGCAGCCTCTGAAGCTGAGATAGAGACTTGCTTTGAAAAAATCAAGGGAGCTGGTATGGGGAAGGCTGAATCACCCCAGAAGCTTCCTGCTGCAGAGGCCTCTCTGTTACCCTCACTGAGGAGCTAAGGATGCCAGGGGCATGGACACTCAGGCCTGAAATCTCAGAGAAGAAAGGTCATTGGCTGGGGGTGGAGAGAAGAGTGGAAGATACTGGCAACGTGGGAGGAAGGCTGGAGGGGCACACCTAGGCAGCAGGGCACTAAGTAGTCACAGGAGTAATGATGATGGTGATGGTGTACCTGTGCCAGGCAAGTTGTACATGCTACATGCTTTGCATCCTTTAAATTCCCACCATGGCCTTATAAAGTAGGTGTTGCAGGTATTTACAGGTTAGCTGGATGAAGCTCAGAGGGGCTATGTAAGTTGCCTATGGTCACACAGTCATTATGAGGCAAGCCAGGACTAGAACCCAGGTCTGTCTAACTCTAAGATCAAGCTCTTCTTCCTTATCCCCAAGACATGCCTCTAAGACCCCAGACCCCTCTTCATACACCTCCCTTCCACAGCACACTCCACACCACCTCCAAGCAAGGGTTTTCTAGACACAGATATCCTTCCTCATTAGCACTGGGAAGCCCCTTACTCCCTGCCTGAACCTTTGGCAGGTGCTCTCTCCCATTCTCCCCAAATACAGTTGAGACCTTTGACCCTACAGGAAGGGAGGGCAGGGAAGGGTCTCACCACAGAGGGGTCAGCAGATGTGTGAGGTCTACCTGCAGGGAGGCCTAAAACACTTCCTCCTGCACTACCCACTCTAGCCCCTGCTCTGGGCCTAGACTCTTCAGCTCCTGCAACCCCACCCCGGGCTAAGTTGCTGCTGGTGGTGCCTCCAGCTCTCAGACCCCATGGGCTCCTCCCAGCCTACAACTCGGGGTCAGGATTATGCCACTTCCTCCCATTTCTTCTATCCCACCCCTACTGCCCTGTCCCTCAGGTGGAAGTCAAACTGCCCTTCCTCACACTGAGGAAGAGGAAGGACAACACCTCCAAAGGCTGCTGAACTACAGGCCTAGTCCCCGAGGTTGCAGGAAAGAGGATGTAATGAACTCCTGCCAGCAGCTCAGCCCTGGGACCAGCTGCAGGGCCTCTGACAACGGATGCAGGAACACTGCAAAGGAAACCCACCGTCACCACGTGGCCCCAGACACTGCAACCTGCCCTGTCAGTCTGTTTGACTGTCTGTCATGCTCTATTCACTTTTCTATTTCTCCAGGCTCCTCTCTGCTGCAACCAATCCTTGACCAGATCCACAGGTACTATGGGCCAAAGAGAAGGCAACGGTCAAGATCAAGGCCTGGGATCTAGCAGGCTTTCAGGAAGTTCTATGGTAAGAAGCACTTTCACTCTATATAGGAAAGCAGTGTGCACCAAGAAAACAAAACAGTGCTGACCCCACATCTTTATTTTGCAGACATATGAGGGAAGATACTAGAAAGGCCTCTGGGTGTTCAGTGGTGATGGTGACACCACCTCTTCCGTGATGTCAGCTCAAATACATACTGCTCCCCAAGTGCCATTAGCAGCCCAGCCACATACCCCACACTGGCTGGCCGACCTCAGGAGAAGCCAGTGAGCTATCACCACAGGGCAAGGGGTCAGGCAGTGGCCACGGGAGTGCCAAGGACACTCACTAGTCCACTTGGGGCAATCAGTGTGTCCATTTGAGAAGCAAGACTGTTGTGAGTCAAGGTCACATGGGCCAGGGAGGAGATGCTAACTTGATCTCAGCAGCTGCAGGGGCTCAGCTCTGACCTGGGGGTGAGAGTCAACCTGAGGGCCCCTGCCCTTGGAGGCTAATGTTTCAAGCTCCCACTGTTTTGGCCTGGGCCATCCCCGTCCTCACAAGCTCAGCACTAGGAAGAGGGGTGTCAAAGGTCATATGTCTGTCACCCAAGGGCAAGACAGGCTCAAACAAGGCCCTGAGTCTCCAAGTGAGTCAGTTCTCTGAGCTGTCTTAGGACAAAGTCTAAACTCCCTGCTCTGTCCACAAGTCCCTGAAGACCTTGGCTCCCGCCACCTCTCTCAACAGTCCATGCTTGAGCCAGGGCCTCCAACGTGCTCTACTTGCTTTGTTTCCAGGTCCTTGACCAGGGTGTACCCCTTCCTAGGACATCTTCTCACTCTCTTCATCTGGCCAGGTCCTATTAATCTTTCAGGTTGCAGACACTGCTTCCACCAGAAAACCTTCCCTGACCCCAGAGCTGAGACAGGAGCTGAACTACGAGCCTCTAACACAGTGTGCATGGCACACACAATCCCAGGTGCCTGCTTCGTCATCCCCAGCAGACAGCAGGCTCCACGGGGCAGGGCTGGCAGACCGTTGTACCTTGCACTCGGTTTGTATCTGCCTGTCGGGATGCTCATTCAAGACTGCACCCAAGGTGAGTCAGAACCATGCCTGGGCAGAGGCGACACTCACAGCCAGCATTCCTGCCTTGGGCTCCTGCCTGCTCCTGACTTCTGGGCTCTCTGATGCACATCAGAGCTCCTCAATATGCTGGGATGAAGTGAAAAGGCCCAGCCTGGGACCCCACCCCACCCCTGGCCCCAGTCCCTCTCCACCTATATGGAACACAAATCCTTCTCCCTGCGGGCC